TTTGGGCCCTTATAAGTGGATTGAATATTTATATTAATATTTTCGTCAGACAATAAAGGACAATAAGTACATTAAATAAAAAACATAAAAAGATCAATTTCGGCAAAAGGGCAGTTATAACCTTTTACCTTTTTGAACCCTCGAAATTTTCGTAAGTAATTTGTTAATTTTTCTACGTAAAGTTAACGGTTGAATCTCTAGTCCCAACTATACTCTTCACAACCCGATATGCTTCTATCACACAATGGAATTGCTCCGTATTATAAACAAGGCTATATAGTTTTCATTGGTAATTGAGGCAATTTGCAACAACGTTAGTGACGTGCCGTATTGTTGCAAAAGCGGAGCCATTTATAAATGGCGGTGGCTATATTGGAAAAACTTACAAGAACCGAAAATTAACACATCACTCAGATTTCCAATTTTCTGTACTATGCCGAGGGTGACGAACTAATTGAATAATTTTAACTAAACTCTTTCTACTTCGGTTGAATATCTGAAGAAATGGCTTAATGGTAAATTACGGAGGGAAGCCTAGATGCCTATTTTGTGGTTAGTCCCGTTCATTTACACGTTCATTTATTCTTCATGGATCCATATATTTTTGTCTATTTGAAAAATCTTTATTTCTCAAGCAGTAATTAATTATAATATTATTTTTATTTCCTAACAGACATGTGCATGCAACAATTCCATTTGGTACGAATTCTGAAAAGAAAATTTCTCAAGAAATGCTAATTCTCCCCATTAGGCATGCCGTTTTTTTACCAATGATCACCTTTAATGTAAAATTCAAAACCTCAACCTAAACACATTAACATTGAAGACGACGAAACCGTTGAGCAATCGCATCCATACCATTGCATCAATCATTGTTATTCTTCTTATTATTAATATCATAAAATATATTTTTATTACTAATTTTCTTCTTCTTTTTTTTTTTTTTGCATTTAGTAAGAAAACTCAAAATTGATGCTCACACTAAAGAACCATGAATTTGTGCAAATTTTTGCTGGAGGAATTCGGATGGTTTAGTTTTCGGCATCGATTTCAATCACTTAATATGTAAATACTTAAATTAAACGTCACATGTTATAATGTAAGAAAATCAAAATCCTAAAACCTAATAACAGAAAGTCAATAGGTTTTTAAACTACTTGCGATTTGAACGATATCTATAAAAATTTTAGAAATTATTGTTTGACGTTGAAATGAAAATAGTGCAACCCGATCCTTAAAATGGCAAATGTTTTATTTATTCAAGCAATTAATGTTCCTGCAAAGGATGAATGCAGATTTAATATCCAAATAGGCATATTCCCTAGATTTTGATCTTAACCTATTAAATGACTTGTTAGGAGGAGGAGCCAAATATACAGGTCATTGCAAAAATACTGTGACGTAAATAGCGTAAAAATAAAGAGTTTAAACTCAAGCGCTTAAACGTCAGCGCAAATTTATACTGCGCCGGTGTGCGTTGCCATTGCTTTTTTTAAAATCGCTGTTACGTACAAGCTATTTGCGTTTATCAAATTAGATATGGTATATAGGTTTTCCGATTCATTGTGAGTATATAACAATAAGTGATAGTTTTGAAAATCCCTTCAATTGACAGCCCCAGTCCGGTTTATTTTGATCATCCCTCATTATGTCCTGAAGACTTTTAAAATATGTTTCCATGTTTAGACATACATTATATTATTTATAAGGAAGGATTAAGCATAATGCACTTTTACATTGACATTTCACAGGGACCATGACATTCCCACTTACACTATAGTCAATCAGGAGATAACGCTTTTTTCAAGACATTCCCCGTGCTTTACTTTTATAGGCGGGCTTTAATTATGCTAAGTGTTTCTATCTATGATTCAAAAAAAGGTTTCAAATCAATGAAATTACTTAAAACCGAATTCCTACAATAGCGACAAATACATAAATACCTTTAAGATGGGTTGCCAATAGGGTTTAAATGAAAAAGGGAGGACAAAAAAAAATCCCTTATCTATGAAGAAGAAATTTTTCAATTGTATTCGTTTTCCTAGAATAAGCTTTCAGGCGTCAAGATTACCATTACTAGTATATAGGCCAGCTCAAAACCTCGATATTTAGGTTCATTAAAACAAAGATTACTTTTTGTTAAATGGCAATTACAGTAAAAAATAAACTATGAGAGCGTTAAAAAGTAAAATAATACTATTTTTAATCATGATTTTAAACATGAATTTACATCTTGCGACATTTAACGGCAGTTTGCGACATTGACGGATGGGAAATTCTTGCGACATTTAACGTTAACATGGCAACATTTAGCGGCAAATGAAATTTTGGGACATTTAGCGGCGGTTGCGACATTTAGCGGCAAATGTTGCGACATTTTTTGTAGCGGTAAAAAAGGGTGCGAACATTTTAGCGGCGTTGCGACATATAACGGCGCCACAATAAGCCACATTTTTCTTATTTTGATTCATATCATATACGTGTTAACTTATCTAATAACAAGTAGACGGTAACATTAATTGTCATGTTCCGACGCTGCATTTCCGTTTTTAAGGAAAAAGAGGTTTAAATATATTAAATGCTCTTTTAAAACCAAACAGGATCTTATGCATTATCATTACGGAAAAACATGTATCAGTACTTAAAATTTGAGGCTGTTATAAATATATTTATAATCTAAACATTGAAAACTGTCACATGCGATCTTGGAAGCGTAAATATTATTTTTTTGCAGTTACCTAATAAATTTATGAAACACGTATGGCATGTACATTATGAATATATAAATATGCACCTTGTGAACATAACTAATATCATAAAAGTCACTGTGATGTATTTTGGAACTGTATAAAAAACAATAAAATTACCGGATTTTTCAAAGTAGAAAAAAAAACAAACATACTTTTGTATAGACCCACTCATCGTTCACCTGTAAGTCTTGCTTTCTTTAACATTTTTACCAGGCCATATTAAATCCTTTTTTAAATTTCGTTTTAGTTCATTTACATGATGTTAAAAGGTTTCTAACGATCAACCTGTAGGATTTCTTGGTTATTTTAAAGGACACATTCTCACCATTTATGCTAGATAGTTGCCATACGACCTTTACAGTATTTGAGCAACCCATAATATATGCATTGGTTCCAGCAAACGGAACGGCAATATCCGTTTGCTTGAGGTCCTTTTCCACCAGTAAAACTGGAATATCGTCGTATGACTTTTACTGTGTTGGTGCGAAGTTTACCCTCCCCCTAAATTTAGGCACTTGTAAGACTCAAGAATGATTCAAATAAGCTTCAAGCTTTCCTCTTAACAAGCAAAAATAAATATTAATTAATTACAGTATTATTAATTATTATTAATTAACAAAGAATTGAACTAACTATTTTGTGATAAAAGTTTTTTTCAGGGAAAGTATTCTACTTTATAGCTTTATCAATAATTCAATAAATAAATAGTAAGAATTGGTCAATATATAAGAATATAGGTCTACACAAGAATTTTGTCTCTGTAACAGAACGTGGTCAAAACCAATTATTTTGGAGTAATGTTAGTCTGATATCAATCAAAGTTAATTTCTAGCGTACAACAAGAAACCACTGAATGTAGTATATCGGCCGTCACCATCGTTTCCCTCCAGAGCACCTCGTGATGCAGCCTCAATCCAAACTGGTTTTCCCTTAACCACGTGTATTATTGCAGTATTTGTACCCTGGGCATCATGATATTTGTGCATACCTGTTGAAATAAAAGTTTTAATAGATGTTTGATAAATGGAACATATTATCATGCTAAGTCGACGATGCTTTCAAACTTAGAAGAATGCATAAAATTATTTAAATACAAAAAAGCTCGGGTTAAACACGTAATGAAATTCCGAATCAAATAGTTTTAAAGAAAAGCGAGTAAAAATTATACTTATATAGAAATAAACGAAATTAATTTTACTTTGTCACTCACTTTGTAGGACTTTATCTTCATGTACAAACTTGCAAATCAATGAAGTTTTCGATCTCAATCGCTTATTTTTCAAAAACGACATGTTTTAAAAATATATTTCTTGATTTGTTTTAGGACATCTCTCTGATTTTTTAGTATTTGAATGTTATATATTTGGAATTAAACATATAGCGGTATGCACTATTTGGCGATACAACCCAGAATTGTAGATTTTCTAACCAGTAAATGAACTTATTAGAAATTACAAGTAGACACAATATATTTTGTTTAAATGTACCTTCTGCAATAGCTCCATTGACAATATTACCGTCGTACATAAGATTAACCCGAACCTCATTTATATTTCTCTGTGCTATGGCGTACGTAAACACATAAACCCCAGTCGTTTGTGTTCTTAAATATAAATTAATCAAAAAATTATAACGTCGTTCATTCCTTAATTATGATTAAAATGAAATATGTCTATTATTCAAAATGTCTAAAATGTAGACATTCAAATTACTTTAAATGCAGAGATGTACAAAAGATAACTCTGAAATCTACGTTAATTTATTTATTTGATATTAATTTAAATGATAGATCAGCAAACAGTTGAGGCATATTACGATATATAAAGTTAATTTATATTTCAATTTAAAAACCCCAAAGTGCAACACATGTATGTTAAAAAAATAATAATAGAAATGAAAAAGTTGGTTTCATCCTACAGAACTGATGTTATTCTACGAATAGTTATACTGGACACATCAATACAAAAAAATAGAAATCATTCATCATCTTTTCATCAAACAAATTTCGAGTAGATTAATAAGATTGCATAAGATTAAATAATCATTGTGTAACAACCTGAACACCCCTGTTACTGCTTCATACCCGTCCCCATCATTCAGCAACACTTTGTCGAATTTCACGTGTTGCCCTTTTCCAAGAAGATCGTAACGTTTGCTGAGAAATGCGGAAAATGCAATTTTACTTCCTCCATACCACGTACTTAAACCATTGTCTGGGTCTTTTACTGTTGAAGCTCCCGGCTCTGTGATACATTCGATCATATTATGTCTTTGTCAAAGACAAATTAAGTGGATATCAGTTTATAAACACAAACTTGCACTAATGAATTAATGAATGAAAGGAGCAATTAAGTACATGAATAGAATGACAAAACTAGTGCTATACATTATTTAACTGATGAATCTCAAAGAAAGATTAACGCAGACCCGACATAATATTTTATTATATCACACCGACAAGTTACCCTTCTCATATTGGATGTTTTGAAAAAAATGTGGTGATCAAGTATATTCTATATTAGGCTACCTGATTTTATTTGGGCAATATTAACATTCAAAATGGTCATCAGAATGTCCTTGCTAAAATATGATGAACGAGGTAGCCACCGTAATGTAACGTTTACAGGGTAAGTTACTGACATAAATTGGATACTATCAAATAAGACTTATCATCGTGCAAACGTATAGACGTCAAATGCTTTGCATTTGTAATTACAAATTTGAAGATACGAAGCCAAAACATCATGGATACCACTTGATTACTATTACCATCATTTTAAAATTTCAACGAAATCGTCAGATCAGTAACCTAAAATGTCTTTATTTTTGTTGAATTTAAAGTCACACAGGTACTATAAACGTCTTACGTAAACGGCAAATTTTCAGCATTACTCATAAAAAAATGTCTCTGGTGCCCCCTTCTTGCATTATTCCAGGCTACTCTCATGCGCATCGGTCGAATGTTCCACTATCGCTCACGTGAGTGTATTCAGTGAGCTGCGAAGGGATCGTATATTTCAGGCATAAGTAGAAGCACCGACCTTCCTTAAGCAAAGACCTTGACTAAAGCCCACAGCGATGTGGGGAATGTGATTTGAAGTCGGCGACCTAGAACATTTTGCTACTGATGCTTCCCCGGTCCATAAATAACACAACCATTACCTGATATATCAGTAGTATCCTCTGAAAGAGTTTCCAGATTTGTATCTTCGTCCAAGCTATTGCTTTCAATGGATAACTCTTCAATCGATCGAGGCCGAAGCTACCGCACCAGAAGGCAAAAAATAAAAACTGGATAATTCATGATTCAACCCTATGAAATAATAAAAATTCTTGATTAATTATCCCTTTTAAAACCTAAATTTTCTTCCTTGGGTTTGTGGGACTTAACAAGAAAGATATTCTTTTGAATTTTTGTCGTGAATATCCTTTTATTTCTCTCTTTCATTTTAAACTTTAAAAATCCCAATATGTTTGGAAAAAAAAACGAGAAATTAAAGATCAACAAGGCAAAAGGCAACGTTCCCACAGCCCCCCCCCCCCCCCCGACACACCCAAAAACCCAACCCGGGAGTGGACATAAGGGGGGCGAAAGGAGGGACACGTAATGTTGTGAATTAATAAAAAAAAAGAAAAGTGGGGCCCATATGAGAAATTAAAGGGATAAGGGCTGTAGGGGGTAGTGTGAAAAAGGAGGGGGGGGGGGGTAAAAAATGAGGGAGGGTGTGAGAAAATGTTTACTGTCAAATACATGTTATTTTTATTTCAAATTTCAATTCATTTTACATTATTCACAATAAACCATTTATTGTTTAATGTTTATTGACTTGTGGCTTTATAAGTCACGGTCCCCCGTTGAGCGCCAAACAATTATTGTTTCCGCTAAGCGAAAAAGGGGCTTGTTGGCCGAGGTGATTTTTTTTTCGACATGGTGTAATGAGGTTTGTTAAGACACATATGAGCTACTAAAATTTTTTATTTCTAAGCTAGAGGAAACCCGTTACTTGCACCATCATTTATTTTGTAAATTTAGGCCCTAGAGGCTAGGTGCTTGTACGAATGTTACAAAGTTGAAATATGACAGACAAAATATATGATAATGGCATTATTTGTTAATATATATTAATTCTAAACTGTATAAAAGACAAATGCCTACATAAAATACTTTTTTTCCGCTGATTGCTCATGCGTTGTAACAATAAGCAAGGAAATTCAAGTGAAAATATGAAAGGAAATTACAAATTACCATGAGAAGATAATTAATAAGGTTAAAAGCAGATAATTAATGAAGATTAAAAGCAAGATAATTTAATGAAGATTAAAAAACACTTTTATACATATTAAGCTAAGGCTATTGGACACGGGCTTTGAGTGTAAAGAAGTAAAACATGGAAAAAAAAACTTTACCAAAAAAATATACATTTATACCATACAAATACGTTTGTAACAAAAGCATGTAGCACCTGGCGTTTCTAAACCTGTAACATTTAAAACCTATTCAGAATATTAAAAAAAAAAAAACAAAACAAAATTTACATAAATAAATAAATAAAAACAAGATCATTTCTGCCACAGATGTTTGCAACTTTGTTAAAAAACCAGTAACTTAGTAAATTCATTTTAAACCAAATCGAAAAATGCACTCGCCTTTGCAACGCGCAACACTATAATTTAAATATTGGTTAAATATCCGTCAATCAAGTGTGTTAAAACCATTTTGATTGGGGAAACTTAACCAATATTCTTTCCAAGATGATATACTTCTTTAAAAGTTGAAATTGATAAATGCCCGTCTAAAATATAAACATGCCACAATCCCCCCCCCGGATATATGAACGACAATTGAACAAATTTACAAAATTCAATCGACAAACTTGATATAATAAATTTAGTTGAATTGGTGGATAGTGTTTCCTGTAGGAACGATAACAGTTTTGTCCCCAAATTTAAACAATTTCAAAAAATTCGTTTTAAAGTTATAATGTAAAAAAACATTTACTTTCAGATTGTAACAATATTGTTGTTATATTACCATAAACAACACCCACCCAAATGAAAACCAAGAAACCAAGGTAGCTTGCGCTTAAAATCAATTAGGAAGACTATTGAAACATTTTTTATAAGAAAAACTGTTCAAAAATATTACAATATACATTGTACTTGTATACTCTGGGCAATAAATATATTTAAAACTAACTTTTGTTTTTGGTTCTTAAGCTATGATTTAAAATCAATTTAAACGATTCATGACTCTTATGAATGTTTACTAATTAATAGTCAGTTTTTTAATACAATGTATGGTAATGCATGTACATAATACTATTGCCACTAAATAAATTCCATTATACATTATATGCAGATTATTCCCTGCGGTCTGGGAGACCGCAGGGTAATTTTGGTACGCGTTTAACCCTTTTGGAAGGCATGGAGGAGCACGTGACCTGTTTTCGGTACATGGAGGAGCACCGTGATCTGTAAAACCGTAATATGATTGGTTAATTGACCTTTTTTCGAGAAAACCAGCTTAATACCGTTTGCGGTACGTTAGCGGATTTACCTGTAGGGAATTAGTCCGAATTATACCTAATTGAGAACAAAAAACTATTACCGTGATATTACTAATTTTTCTATAATTATTTTTTACCCGTTTTAAAGGTGGACAAAAACTTGAAGATGTGTTTGAAAATTCATCAATATTTCCCTTTTAATATCTATCTCAAATTTTTTACAAACAATAAATTTTTTATACTGAAAATCTACAAAATTAAAATATTCGTAGTGGCATCTGCCATATTTTTAAAATAGAGATATTTTCTGCGTAAACTTGTGTGTTTTACTTTATTTATTTTTTGCTCGGAATTATTCATAAACTGGGAGGCCTATCTAATAATTGTTTATATGTTTCACCTTCTCCGGTCTTCAAACGGTCACCAGTTTCCAAAGACCTTCTTCTATATTGATCGATTATTGTCAACTATATTCCTGATACAAAACGTTTATTTTACCCCCCCCCCCCCCAAATAATGTTGAAAATAGTTAGATGAAATATCTTTATATCATTAAAATGTTCACCGCAGGAAACCATTTTACTTGTTTATTATTATGTACATATAAAAAAATTTCCTACCTATCTACCCAACCCTAATTTTAATGGGTCGGGAAGGGGAAACAAACATATTTCTTATTTTGGCCAAAGAAAAAGAGCACGAAGACAATCTTTCGTAAAAGGTTGTTTAAAAAAAAGCACCTCGGAGACCATGACTGAGGAAATTATTGCCCTGGTTCTTGCAAAAACTGCACCATGGAAATTTATGTTATGGCGTTTTGCAACTTTATTTCAAATTAGTGGGCAATTTAAGAAATTCTTGCTAGGGTTTGAGGAAAATGCGAAATTACTTTTCAGACAGAAAGCACCGAATTCATAAAGAAAACGTTCCCAACAATGGTTCGATTTAAGGAATCATTTCCAAACTAACTGGAAGTAAATTTTTTAAGGCTTTTACGTCCTGCATAACTCAAGTCTCAATCAGCACATTGATAAGCTCAAAAAATCCGTCAAAAGAGAATGAGCCAACATTCTGCCGAATCCAAAACTAGAATAGACCACTAAATTCTTGAATAAATTTCAGTTGTTACGCCCTTAAACCTAGTTTTTTTTTTCCAAACATTGAAGAATAATCGAGGAAGGGAAGTCATGTGATTATATACACGACGATGTACAAATGTATTTGGGTGTCGCCTGACAGAGTTGAGATTTAATCGATGAATTCATCTGAATCAGTTTGGGAAATGAATTATTAAAAGAACACTTTACACAACACAATGCTTGGTAACCTCGGTCGAAAGAATGATCTTTCCACCTGTTTGAAATAAGTTCGAAAAAAAAGGACTAATAATTTTTGATCTACATAGATACCATGTGCACTTATCTAAGACGGTTATTATTTACATAGATCAGACTTGAGAAGTTGATCCATAAAATGACATGTGATAAAACAGCACATAACATAACAGCAAAAAACAGTATTTTTCATCAAATAAAACATATTTTAAGAAATCTTACAGTTTACTAACATAAAGTATGGTTTGCAAAAGAAAACGGTGCCCCAGTATTTATCAGTCTAACTGAACGGAAAAAAGAATGCGGTTGTTTGAATTCAGTTGTTTATACGGTGCGCCAAAATTCGGGTCCAATAGTCCCTTTTTTCAACATATATTCCCCTAAAATTTACGATAGAAAAAACACACAATTTTGGTATGGAACTTGAATTTATGCTTTTAACCATGAATACCTATACGAGATCATTAGGTCATAGAACAAATACATCGTCGTTATAACACACGTTTTAGTGACAAGTACGAGTCATGTTGAGGTAGACACGATCTTTTGTAAACACTATATCTTCGAAGTATGTATTTTTTTGTGAATTTTGTTGTGCTAGATTAAGGATAAATTGTTTCAGAAATTCGATGGTATACTTGAACAATTGGAATAATTTTGCAATGTCCAGCAGTTAGATGTTTTGTAAGCCATTACCTGCAATTTGGTTATCCAGCCAAATTATATTTTGTACAGAAATATACGGTGTCATGGCCAGAAGGATGCTATTTTGACGTTGCGCGGAAAAGTTGTGATAAACGCCCTATCACCGTGCATTAGCCGGCCAGTATCGCATATCATACATTATCTTACATTACAGTACCTATGATGTAAAGACGATGCTTGGAGGCGTGGTCGGTAGTTTGCACTTAACAGTACCGTCCATGAACAGGCTCAATCAAACCGAGCCTGCAACATTTTCAATTTTGACGTATTGGAATTTCTTTAGGAATTCATAATATCTCTATTTTATTGCCACATCAGCGATGTTGAGGCCGTAAAAAGTCGGAGATAAAATATTTCAAGTCCTAGAAGATCGTTTAGCATGACATTATTCTTGTGATTGTGGTACTTTTCGTTCTTACCATTTGGCATTTCCTAGTTGGCTATCCAATAACCCTACTTGAATAATGTTGAATTACCGTTAGGGTTATGTTTGCTTTAACTTTGGTAACTTATGGTCACATCAGTGTTTTCTGTGTCGTGTGGCGGCTGTAAAAAGTCTCCCCGTACATAGGATATGTTGTCTGCTTTTTAAATTGTCTTGACGTCTTGTCTGTGATATGCAGGCTACTTATACTTAACCTCTGATCCCCTTTCAAAATTCCATTTTATTTAGTTCCGCCCATTGTTATCTTTTTTAAGGCCTCCACATTTTTTTATTTGGGGACCATACGCCGCTTTTCATGGAATGGCACTACTGTGTCACATTGTAGGTTCCATGATAACCGCCGTTTGAACACATCTGCGGATGTTTCTAAATTCAAAAGTTTACCATTTCATGTTAAAATGTTGAATTCTGCTTAAGCCGGTGCTAGGGTGCGTGGACGGTAGTTTGCACTTGACAGACTCAATCAAACCGAACCTCCCAACATTTTCAATATTGACGTGCTGGGATTCCTATTTTCTCTATTCCATAATAAACGCCGTATGAACACATCTGCGGACGTTTTTAAATTCAAAAAGTTCACCCTTTTCCTGTTTGAATGTTGAATTCTGCTTAAGCCGGTGCGGTAACTTGCATTTTCCAGTACCGTCCATGTTCAAGCTCAATCAAACAGAGCCTGTAACATTTGCAATTTTGCCGTGTTGGGCTTTCTTTAGGATTTTTTTTATTTTAAGTATTCAAGTGAGGAATACTGGCACAACCAAACAAGAAAATAGCCGAATAGAAAAAAAACTAATTACCACAAGCACAACGATCGTGCTGAACGATTAAACAGCAGTCTGCAATTTTCATGTAATTTTGCTGTGATTAATGCTTTCGAGAGATCACACTTTTGCCAGATTTTTATACTTTACAAGAGTAGGTGTCAAGTGCAGTGTGGCAGCCGTAAAAAAGTTGCACCTTACTTAACTTCAGTGTTGTTATATTTTTTCTGGTTATTCGGGATCATTGATTCTAACCGCTCA